AGGAAGGAAGGAAGGAAGGAAGGAAGGAAGGAAGGAAGGAAGGAAGGAAGGATACCTCGTATGTATAATTTGGACAGGAAACGAGTGTAAAAATCCATGTGAAAGGATTGAGTGTTGGACTTGGAAAAGATACTTTGTTTCCTGTAGGGAAAAAGAAAAAGGCAAATATTAATTATAACAAGTTCAGAAATTAGGAGAGATTTATTTTATTCCATTATATAAATATCAATTAGTCCTTGTATGGAGGCTTAACTTTGAGAAGTGGTAAGGCTTACCTTTTGTTGGCTTCCAAGATTTTTTAAAAAAGTGTTTATTGCCATACAAGTAATAGATAGACAGATTTATAGATAGACTCAAGAAATTCAGGAACTACAAGAGGCAATTGGCAGGCCTCCTGTGAACATTAAGGGAACCTTAAGCAAGACTCTAGAAAACCAGAAAGAAACATTGCTCTTACCCAGTTTTCTGTTTACGTGCAGGTAGTTTATGGCACTCAAACCCATTTCCTGAAGAACAAGAATAATGCTATGAAAAATATCAAAAGTGAGGAACTGAAAAATACACTACAAACCTGATTGATTTTGATGAACTAAAGCCACATTGATAAAATGGTTCCCAGCTTCACATACCTGCAAAATATTTCAAATATTTTTTCTTAGATTTTGTACAGCTGGACACTGTAATTTTGTAATCATATATTAGCTGGTGAGCCTTAGTAAATTTAGATTAACAAAAAATAGGATAGCCCCATTTATGTTCTCATACTGTGCAAAAATATGAATATCAAGAAAAGCAATTATGCTGCTTACAAAATGTAAAAGGTATGTAACACTAACAATATGAACCGTGTCCTCTAGGCTTTCTTCACTAGTGATTTACGGAGTCCTCACTGCTGTTCTCATTAGAGATATACTGCCATTATAGCTATCAAGGGCTAGTGTGCCTGGCCCCAGAGTTCACTAGCATTTAGCAGTAAATATGTTGAGGGTTCACACCTTCAGTTAAATGGACAAAAGGTCCTAACACTATCAATTACAACCATTATAAAGCTATATATTTCCCTCTTTAAAAAGTGGGGTAGGGGAGAGGAGAAGATGGACCAAACAATGAGAAAACAAACTAATGTTCCAAATGGAAGACAGTGACATCTTGGCCTTTGGTAAAATTCTATTAAGGATGGAGGCACAGTGATTTCAAAACAAAAGTCTCATTTGGAAGCATTCTTGACCTATGCAGTTAGGTCACATGTTGTGACTTATAAAGATAAATGCATGTAATTAGCTAAGCATTTTTTGCTGTCTATTGCATGCCCTGCAATCACCCTGAGTTTTCCTAAGCTAGCAAATTAAAACTTCTTAACCTTAAGAAGCTGCAGTTTATAAAGAAACTCTTTGCATGCTGTAATATACTATTTTTCTTGGTTTAAAAAGTTAAAAACTAAAAGCGTTATCTCTAAATCCTTAGTGTTAAAAAAATTACTATTGCATTTATAGTAATAACATCTGATTGTAATTCAACAATATATTTTTGCAGGAGAATTTTTGGTATGTCCATAAGTTATGTGACCGACTATTATAATTTTGGTATCAACATTAGAATGGCAGCTTTTAAGTTCCAATTCAGAAACAAATTCAAGTAATGCAAAACAAGGAGCCTTCAGAAGGAAGCCTTAAAAAACCCTCCACAAGTGAATTAGGGGCATTTGCCTCCAAGTCTACTAGGTATCAGCCACAGGACATTCATGTTACCATCACACCTTTCTGCAAGGTTAAGATCTATAGAGAATTACTTTTAGTTATCCCTTGTTCATCTAACTGAGGCTGAAATTTTGAATTTCCCAAGATATATGCCAATACTCTATGAAACAGTCTTACATTCACCTAGCATTTTGGGAAGGATAAAGACCTTTATATACACTAGATGTTTTCCACACTCATATTTATTCTCCACCTACTTGCCCATACATACCAGAAACCCAAAGGTAGCCAAAGGAATTTGCTTGTTTCCAAATGCTAGAAAACACAATAAAATCATACATTAGGCTTAGACAATTGTAGATCAACTAGAATGTTTCTCTTGGATATATAATGCATAAGGTTTTGTCTGTTTAGAAACTTCATTCTTTGACATCTCTGCGACTTGTACATCTGTCTGTACTCAAAGCTTTGGACTCAAATGTGGTTATTCCTTTTCTACATTTTATTTACATATACATATATATATCAAATTTGTCACTGCGCATCTCATTAAAAAGCAACTCTGGGTGGTTTACATACTTAACTCACAATATTTAACTTGTATTTCTACATATTTAACCCAACAAAAGGGGAATGAAAATACTGATCCACCTTACATACATAATTATTATATTGCTACAGATTTCCCACAGTTTATTAGATTAGTCCATTACAAATGCAGGTAATCCCCGGGTTAAGAACACCTGGGTTACAAATGACCCACAGTTAAGAATGGAGCCTATTGTAGCAAAATTCAAGTTAAATACACAATGATTTGAGTTAAATACACAATGGTTGAGTTCATTACACAATACTACTTATACGCTGTTCTGGCTTACATACAAATTCAACTTAAGGACAGAACTTGGGAACGGAACTTGTTCTAAAACTGGGGACTACCTGTATACCATTCTGGAGTAAACAGATTAATGTATTAGATGTCTGGTGGGAAGGTTCCCCAAAGACAGAGTCCGGATTGGATCAGTTCAGTGAGAGCAGCCATATTTTTCCTATACCAATGTATCTGGAATTATGTTACAATATTCTATGGCCTCTATATCAAAGGCATTGTGTGGTAGCATGGCCGCAGATCAGAGGGAAAATTCTGATGTTGCTTTCCCACATTAGGAATATCAGATGGAGGGAAGTGGGGGATGGGGGATGCTCTGCGAGTGAAATAAATCTTTTCATTGTAAAAGTTATTTTTAAAAAATGTCAGTGCAAAAGTAGTTTGTGGACTTTTCCAACTCCACATTTTTAAAAACCAATGCCAAAAGAATGCTATCTGTATCTATTATTTCAGCGCATCTATCTCTTCTACTTACATGGAGGAGTATACTGTGGGTGGTTGATGTAGTAAGCAAACCAAGAAGTAAATCCCCAGTAAAAAGCACAGCCCTATAATGGAAAATACAGATAAATATAAATTTATTATAGATAGACATGCATAAATACTTCACATAAATCTAAAGAAATACCAGGCTGAAGGTGTTCTACAGAAAGTTTCCCTGTACATTGAATCAAGCTCTTTCTTTTGACTATCAGATCAGAAAGAACACCACAGGAGCAGAATAAAGATCAGATAGTTCCTGATCCTCCCTCACAATTTTTATTTTTATTTTTTTTTACCCAAAGGGCTGCTGCATCTTTATGAGGGAACTCTGAAAACTACAGAAGAGTTCCGTTTTCTGTCCGAGAGTGTATATCCCAAATTAAACTCAGTGGGGCTTTCTTATTTGGTAAGATTGCTATTAAGTGAAGGGAGATATGCAATCTCTCTGAGGCGAGCAAATAGTGTAGATATTATGATATCTCATATTCACCTGCAATGGAGACACTACATTTAATAAATTGTTATTGCTTCTTTCTTCTCCTCCTATTCCTCCACTGCACTGCTGCAATACTTGCACGTATTTGTACAAAATTTGGTAGGTTCCACTCTCAGGGATATTTTCTCTATATATTTCAACCAATCTTGTCAAAATGGCAAAAGTCCAACTTGGATCAGGGCCAAAACACATGATCCTCCTGAGGTTCTGAGATAGCTCTGCAAAAGATAGTACTTCTCCATATCCCCATACAGCCACTGGAAACTTTCAATATGGGGTCCCTTTCTTTCCTGGCTTCAACTAGCTGTTGCTCACTGAAAATATTCATTTCCAAAACTTGATGTTAACCTTGATTTTTCCTTCCCTATCTTTCAAAGAAAAAAGATGATCATCTCTACCAAAATTCCTAAAAATCAAAGCTTACAGATGGCTATTTTTCAAATGGAGCAGCATAGAACTATCCAATATTTAGGATATTGAAGGATTGTATAGAATGAAATGCACTTGATGTTTGAAATTTGATTACAAAAAATATGCATTTCTATTTTTTTCTGGTGTGTTGATATGTTTGAGGCAAGCTGCAACAAGTTGGCTTTTTTCTTTTCCCCCCTTATTGGGTTGGTTCAAGCCCAGCTGCAGTTGCAGCTGGCTGAGTCGGTTCATTATGTGTAAGTCAGGAAGGTATCAGGAAGATTGCTCTTTCAAAAAAATTTTTTTTTTAATTCCCTGTCCTTATATTGTTTCCAGGTCTGAGATAAAAGTCACTGTGAGAAGTGAAACACTTTAAGTGCATAGTGGACCCCAGGAAGAATGGTTGGGGAAAGTAATAAACAATGCATAAGAGTAGAATTGAAATATTTTTGGGGAACATTAAGGATACAGTCCCTGGACTTCTGGGTAGGTATTTTAGCCATCCAGTTCATTCGGCCTATAGTCTTGTATCTTACAGCATCAGGCCCTTCATCACTTCATCACCCACTCTTCCTAAGTAGGACAAAAGTGCAAACATTGAGATGATGATAATGAAAGGGAATCTTTTATCTTTATCAAACCAACTGTCTCCCACAGCTTCTTTGGTGAAGTAGAATTTATATATATCCTGCCAGGAGCTACTTATAGCAAGATACTTTTAGAAAGTTTTTTTTTTCTCAGTTAATAATAATAATAGTTAGCAAATGGCAAGAACTATGATTTTTCATTAGTTACCAACATTTAGCTATTACTAAGCACCACAGGTTACTCACAGAAAAAAATTGCTCTTAGCAGTTGCCCAGTGGTTCTCCCTCCTCAGCCTTCTAACTTTCCCAAAGTTTTAAAGGTCATTCTAAAACTGAAATACAAATGTTATGTATCTGATGGCATCAGCTTAATCAAATACAATTTTAGAAGACTAATCAGCCATACTGATGACATTTTTTATTATTCTTTCACACTTCATGTCAATAGTGTAATGTAGAACACTCATAGTAACTCACAAGGGACACTTTTTCTATGTAATGGGAGTCAAGCAATTAGCAAGAGTAATCTGTATATTTTTGTTAAGCAGATGGAACTGTATTTCTCCTCTTCTCCTGAGTTTGAGGCATTATTACTTTTCAGTATACTTCAGAGAATGTTTTGCTCAGGACTTCTGAAAACAAAGGAAGTCTTTTGAATGCTGAACTAAGATTAAAAAAAAATTGGGTATGAATATAAGTATGTGTGTATGTGTGTATGTGTGTATGTGTGTATGTACATGTCTGTCTGTCTGTCTGTCTATCTCTCTATCTCTCTATCTCTCTATCTCTCTATCTCTCTATCTCTCTATCTCTCTATCTCTCTATCTATCTATCTATCTATCTATCTATCTATCTATCTATCTATCTATCTATCTATCTATCTACCTACTGTCTGTCCATC